GTCGTGTGTTTAGTCAGCGATCTATTTCCCAAATGGCCAATTTTAGTGTGTTTATTCACTGAAATCTAATAGGCGGATGTATTAATTAATTATCCATCGTTTATAAAGGGGGAACTCTATCTGATAGTCATCCGCTAATAAAGCAGGTGAAGCGTCGACGCGTTTTCACGTGATCTCATTTAAATTCAACTACACGTCCGATAGCTCGATATGCTCGCTCGATTGGTTTCGTGATAATTTATTCATCATGCGGATTATTTGTGTAATTATGTGTATTCAAAATATCGTTCGTCAAACGCGAAGTTAAAAGCAGCAGGACGAGCAAGAAATTTTTTTCACTTTTTGCATTGATCAGAGAGACTTCATATATTTGTGTATGCCAAATATTTAAAGTAATGTATGTTTATATTTGAGCATAAAAGCTCATGTATCAATAAGCATTAATACAGCAGAGAGAAATGTATACATTTTAAATATAATCAAACGGGATAAAAAGAGCGGGAGGACTTTGCGCTCGACGGGAACGTTATCGAACATATATTGTACGATAACGCGATTTGAGAATACCGCGAAAGTGCACAATGCACACTTTAAGCTGCCGCGCACTTTTGAGACTGAAAGTGAAATTTTTTGCTTCTTTTACATCGCGACAGTGCGAGAATTGCATCGGGCGATGCATTTAGCGGAAGGTCACACTAGAGTTCCTGCGCGACAAGAGATTTGGCTTCGTTTCCACCTCTACCTTTTTTCGCTCCATTTCGTCACCACTTTAGCGGAGAAACGCATTAAGTCGGGAAATGAAGGTCGTAAAGTCCCGAGGCAGCTTTTTGCCGCGGCAATCACACTCGGCCGGAAGTTTCGCGCTTAGCTCTTGGAGCAGTTGAACGCGCGAGTGTGGAACTTTGTCTCGCAATAACGCGATCTGTCAATCTCTCCGAGCGGAGTGCCCTTAGTGCTCATTCCGCAGAAACTGTTGTATCAATATATGTAAGGAAGAAAATTATTTCCTTTTGTCTCAAGGATTTGATGTAGAAGCGATAGTCTGAATTGCAAAATGTTTGCAATTAGCTTACTTAGATATATATTTGCAAAAAAAGAATTAGAAAGATAAAATTATCTAAATATTTAGCTTCATCACTATATTATTGTTACATATTAAAAATCAGAAAAGAGGACAGAAAAAAAACATCGATTATACCGATTTTATTTCTTTTTTTATTAATTTGCAAAATATAAATCAAAAAGTAGCCTTCTCACAATCTCACCGTGCAGCTCATAACGGTGCGGTAATGATGGCTTGACACGAAAAGCCCGCATTGCTTTCTGATCACGTCATTACTTGCAATGATTGCTTGACACGAAAAGCCCCAGACTAATCCCTTACCGTGATCTAACGATGCTCTAGCCTCTAGCTATTGCACGTTTCTCCTAAAAAATTCTTTCTTACAATTTTTCGGCATTCTTTTATGTAATATAACACATATATAGTCTTTTTGTGTTATACAATTAATTATATTTTCTTTTAAAATTTTTTCTTACAATTTTTCGGCGTTCTTTTATGTAATATAATACATATAGTCTTTTTGTGTTATTTCATTAGTTATATTTTATCTCTCGAACATAAATAAATGGATATTAACAGAAATTCGATATTCTGATAAATAAAAATACATTTGCAAATATAGAATCATTTATTAACGAATCATTTCAGGGCGTTTACCTTTTTTGTTTTAATTTAGCCTACATCATGAATGTTATATTCGGCAAACGGTGAAATCTCTTCGATGAAACCCCGTCGGAAGTTTGGAGCCGAGGTTACCCGGACGCACGTGGCTTTAATCGATTAATAAACGGCACCAGCTCGCACCTGTGTCGCGGTAATTAAAGAGAGGGTAAGGGATTTCCGGCATACGAGCATTTTTCTTTGTTGTTGCGGCGCGTTATTAACATTTTGCGTAAAAGCTTTTAATGCACGACCAATTTGAATGAGAACGAGAAATTATATCGGAACGTATATGTTTTGCTGAATGCCGGAATGTAATTTTAATATCGAATTAACGAGGATATCGTTACGATTTTTTCGATGTCTCGTATTTTCTATATTCGATATTGTCGATGAATGGGTAATATTATCGCGGTTTTACGATATAACAAAATATCTTTGAAATACCTCTCCGCTTCGTTAATTTATTCTATACTGAAATTTTATAGATTATTCATATAAATTGATATATGAGAGAAGGCCACAAAATACATGTGTGATTAAATCAACATTTTCCTCAACGCGATACATTTAAACGAGTCACTCGGGATACCATCGCGGTTGGCTAGAGCTTTTTTTTTATGCGGTCACACACAAGGCGCATCTCTTGATACATATTAATTCTATCACTTTCGCATGCGGCGTGCGATTCTGCGGACGCTCTCGCGGCCGGGGCCCCGTCACTATATCCCACACCGTGGGATTTCGGTCTGCTAAGCATGTTGACAACGTGTAGCAGCGCGCGTTGGATGCTGCGGCCTGCGAACCGCGCGCACTGATCAATATGGAGGGGAGCTTGGTCGAGGCCGAGAGCGGGGATAGGGGTTAGTTTCAGGGGATGCTTTGGCAAGAGGGCTTGCGTCGGCGGCGGCGGCGGCGGCGGTGATGGTGGTGGTGGCGGCGGCGGCGGTGATGGTGGTGGTAGTGGCGGCGGCGGTGGTGGTCCCGGCGACGACGACATCGGCTATGCCGAAGGTCGATTTGCTGATGGTAGTGGTGGTGGTGGTGGCGGTGGTGGAGGCAAAATGTGAGAACCGCGAAAGGAGAAACGAGCTCTCGCGGCCTTACCGCGCGCAGCTTTAGAGTCAGAGAAAGAGAGAGAGAGAGAGAGAGAGAGAGAGAGAGAGAGAGAGAGAGAGAGACTGTACGTACGTGGTGAGAGACGGCTCAGTATGTACCGCGACGTGGACGCGACCGTACCGCGCACTCCCCGGCCCTAACTCTATCCTTAACTGGGTCAACCCCTCGTACGGGATCCTCTGTGCATTAGCCCCACGAGGGAGAGGAGACCTCGGCAGTAGCAGCGCGCCCGCGGCCAAAGAACACTGCCGTAGAGGTGTCCCCGTTTCTCCTCATCTTTTTCGTTGTCCACGGAAAAGCGCGAATCGCCTGTTCGTATATTTAAAGTATTCGTGCTGTCAAATCGTTTCTCGAGTCGATTTTGCAACAAGAAAATTCTTATTTTAGGATTCAATCGCGTCGTAAAACTCCCACTTTGCTTTTAAGCAGATAATCGAAGGAGTGGGAGAGAGGAGGGGGTTGTAATTTTTAACGAGAGATACGTAAAATTTTTGACGATGGGATTTATCGATGATCCATAAATAGATCTGCAGTGAAAGGTTCGTATATCGGAATAGCTTCGCGAACATGATTTATGGATTAAATCTAATTAGTATGAGCTTTCATACAATAAGCCCTTTTCTCTCAGAGGCAAGCTTCATCGACAGGTTCGACAGCTTGCTTGACAATACGATCTTCGCGTCTTACTTTCTCGTCGATCATTGTTGTATCATAGCGCGTAGGCAGATGGCACGAAGTAATCGCCCTACTTAAGGTCTCTCTTTTGAACGCAGTTCCTCTGCGATCTCGCTCGGAATTATTTGCCAGTGATAGTGCGGCAATCGTACGAAACGTGTCGGCGAAGTTTGAAGTGACGTGCCTGCGGGTTCGAGTCCGCTCGCGAGTGCTTGCATTACAATTTTGCGCTCTGACGTCTGTCGTTCGGCGACACGCTCGTTGGCGCTACACTCGTCGCAACCAGGTCAAGTGTGCCCGCACCACCACCGCTGACCTTCACGGATGCGGGATTCGGGATCTTTTTTACCTCCTCGACAATATTAACCACCGTAATAACGTGCCGTTTCGTCAGTGACCTCAAAATTTCAGGCAGTCACCCTTACGATAATTGATTACTGTGTTCATTAAGGTTTTTTTTTTTTTTAAATTTTAATGGTTATTTCTCCATTGTTAATAATAACCCGTGGATTTTGCAAAATTACAGATACTTATAATTCCACGGATAATGGCTAGAAAATAGATCATTTGATTCTTTTAACAAAATTTGCGAAGTGACTTATCATAAAATTTTTTCGGAATCTCAAAAAAAACTTTTATCGTGTTTATCCATATTTTGTTGCTAGAATTATTTAAGACTCTTTTTCGCGTGTTTGTATTTATTCCGCTTTCACGGGTACTAACTTATATTTTAAATAAGACATACAAAATCGCTAGGAATCCGTGCTGCGAGTAACGTCGACGTTATAAATAGCACTTACCAAGTCGTAAAATTTACGTTGTCTCGCGGTTTCTCCGTCGGAGCTTTCGAGACGTATCATAGAGCTGTCTCTTTCCTTCTAC